TATTTTGAAACAAATGTGTTGCGCATCTTTTTAATCTTTTAGAGGAGCTAACACCGCGGAGCGGTGCATTTTAATATTTTTGATTATACTTATTCTCCGGCGACGCGGGGAGATCGACGAGAGAACTCGCAAGGGAATGAGTACCTCTGATTAGAAAATGCGGGTGTGGCTTGACGACAATACCGTCTGCCTGTTAACATCTCGCTCACCCTCTTGCGAACCCTCCTTCCGGGTGCTCTCCTTTATAACGCGGCGAGCAGCCAGCTTCCGCAGCAGCAGCCACGTCCTTGTCTTCGGAACCCTCCTGGCACGTAGACATTGAAGCATGCGACGCTGAGGAAGCGAGCGCCGGACGACGAAGCGGAGCGGTTATCGGAGGGGCGGCGGGAGGGGAGGGGAGGGGGGGGGTTGAGTTTGCGCCACCGTCGCACAGTTTATTACGGGTTCGTCTTTATGATATTCCAACCTTCAAAAATGCATTAAGCGCGCATAAAGAGACCCGGAACAATCTCCCGGCGTACGCCGCCTTCGTCTTCGTCGTCGTTGTCGGCGACGTCTGCCGCTCCCGGATGGCCCATCAAACTTTAAAGCGGTGGATCCCTTTCTTCCTAGGGAAAATCGAAGCTGCCCTCGCGCCACTCTGGTTGAAACAAGCGGAGTTGTGTCTCTGCAGACTCGAGTGAGTGAATTTTTGACGACGGATGCGCACGGAAATAAGGAATGTCTCGAGATGTTAAGAGGAAGATTAATAAAATAGATATTTTCGGATCTCAAACCGCTTTTGAAAGAATTATGTGCGCGGTAGCCAAGACGATCTTAATCATATTGCTGTTTTGTTCATGCTTTTGCGGAAAATGTTGCTTACGCTATTTTTTCATCCGCCGATCTGGATTCATTCGCAATAATTGCCGTCAGAGGTGAGCTACGCGAATTTCAGCTTACGCAGCTTTCGGAACATAACAAGACTTGTATTGAATGTGCAAATACGATAGATAAATAGAATGATTGGCAATGTGCGATAGAAGTCCGGAGCATTATGAGTGTTACGGCGCGCACACGTTTATTACATCGATAATTATTTGCCGCGGTAATATAATTAACGCCATTCCGCGATAATGCCGTTAATAAGTACGTAGGATTCCGTTGATCGAACGTTATAGAATGTAAACGGGGCACGCATATTACTCCGTATCACGTGATGACGTTATGATATTATAAGCGGCACACGGATATTAACGCCGCATGAAATCAAATGAACAGTAATAAACCATGCGTCAGCGTGCATTATCGCTCGCTATTATCTTCTTACGCGTCCCGGAAACTTAATAAAAAAAATTCCACGCGCTAATCGGAAAATGTGACAATTGGAGGACTTCTTTTATCATGCCGGCATGTTTAAGGGAGATGTATTAAAATTTTTATTACGTCAGAGCTTCGAGGAATTTCTAAGATATTTAAGAATTTATAAGGCTGGTATATTAGGGAGATCCTAAGATTTATGCTTTTCGGGAGCTGAAGAAGATGAGATCTAGAAATTCCTTTATAAATGATAAACGTGAAACTCCTCCCGCAAAATTGTCTTTATCTTGCATTTCGTTTCGCTTATGCGATTCGGGACTTGACAAGCGAGGACTCGAAGCAACAGACGAAGCGCAAAACAAGAAACGAAAGCAAAATCCGGTCGATCGGATGTCCGGGAAATTACGTTCGAGGGAAATCGCACTCTTAAGAGGAAAAACGTGAGGGTGGTAGAAAGTAAAGGGATGGAAAGCGAGGTAACGAAATGACGCGAGCGCATTTCGATTTCCTTTGAACCACCGTCGTGCGGAACTGTGCGCATCCCCGTCCTTTGCAATCCCTGCTCTTCGTCCTTTCGCTGCCTTTGTCGCCTTCGACATTTTATTGCCCAAACGCCATCCTCGCCCTTCTGCTCTTTAAAGCGAATCAGGCCTTCACAGATTTTTCGCGGATTCGTGCAATCTTGTACGCTGACGAGAAGCAGTTCGTCTTGAGAAAACAACATTTCCCGCGTGAAATCTAAGTATAGGAGGAAAAATACATTTGTATTACATGAGGGCTCCTAAAAGAACATATATATATATACAGCAGATTTCTCAAATTTAAAGATTGAAGGCTGAAAAGATTGACAAATATAAAAATGTTAAAATGTTTAATGGGAAATAAAAGTATAATAAAAGATGTGTTCTTATAGACATCGATTTTTTAAATCTATTTTCTAATAATCTTTATTATTTTCCTTTATTTTTCAAAATATTTATATAAGATTTTAAATAGAACAATCAATGTGATTATAATAGAATTACAATAGGATTATTTTTAGTCGGAAAATACGTTTCAGGATATTGATTTTTTTTCACTGTCTTTTTTCCACACTCTTCATTATCTCTTTTTTGCTCTTGAAAAAATATATATAGAATTTATATAAAGCAATCGATGACTGGAATTATTTTTAATTGGAACTTTAATTGAAATATATTTTGTCGGGAAGAATTTTACATTTCACTACAATCACGTTTGTATCTTCTCTTACATTCCACATTTTCTGCTTCGTACTCTCAACCATGAGAGTTCTCTGGTCTACGCAAATCAAGCGATTTTCCGTAGATCTTACAAGAGTGCATTCCGACGAGAAGGCACGCATCGAATGCGGAAAACCGCAAGGAAATTCTTCCCGCACAATAGCATGCGAAGAATGCACGGAGGTACGTTTCGCGATCAGCGAGCGGGCGTGTGTTAATTTTGCTAACGTTGAATTATTTGCAAAAACGCTGCATTTCAGTAAGCGAATATTTCGCCTCGGCGAATCGGCAAAAATTCAAAAAAATCTAGAAAGACTTATTCTTGAGGGAATATTCTCATTTTTCTTTCAAATCGCGTATAATGTGTAACTTTCAAATAAGATAAAAATTGCATCGGAGAGTGGTACCTTTTTTATGTATCTTTTATGAAACAACCTACATAGGTCTGATGCCTTACGTCGTACGTATACGTGGTATTTTTCTCATGTATACGTAACGAAACAGACAGGATCATGGTCGGTGGTTTTTGGCAAAGAATTCGCTCGCCCGGATGGCAGAATTTTACAGCGTTTGTTGCGTTACCTGAAGAGCGGCTGGTGTCACGGGCGTATCAAAAATTATTTTCTCAGCCTACGATCTTTTTTACCGAGCATATTCAGTATGGCCAACGCGTTTGAAATTATAAACGTCAGCTTGTTATGGATAGTTCTTTTTTATTTGACAACAGATATTTTTTTGAGCGCCATAATTCATCAAAATGCAAAAGCTACGTGATTCCAGTCGGCGTAATTAAATTTTTATTAATTTTTCCGTAAACTCTCAAAACAAAATATTGCGATTTAATTAATTTAATTTAACTTTAATTTACTAATTGCATTCTGCTTTAGCTACATGGTTATAATATAAAAAGTTGCGTTGCAGTTATAAGTTGTTCGTATATTGCATGATTTTATGAAAAACTGTGATTCGTGATACATCAGTTTCCATTTTCCACTATTAAACAGCGCGTACTTGATCGATTAAAATTCTTTTTTACAATAAAATAGATGAGAGAAAACATTAATCACGTGATCCTATCATTTCGACATCACGCTACGTTTCCCGATGTTTCTGTCCCCCTTTCGCGCGAGCGATGTTTGTCTCATTTGCTTCTTTTTAGGCAGAAAAGGCGCGGGTAGACGGGAGTGACATAAAGGGGCTTTTAACTCGAGCGTAATTTCCTTTTGATCGGAAATTCAATATTTTCTTACGGCTGCCGCGCCTTTCCGCACACGTAGCGCGAGTTTGCTGCTTCCGGAACTTTCCGCGCCGTTTCTCGATAGAGAGCGATTAGAATGCGTACACGGAATCGGAAAAAAGAGCACGTCGGAGTATGTTTCCGTACAAAATGCCGATGAGTTTGACGTGAATCCAGACGGAAAAAGTGGTGTAGTTGGATAGAATACAATACATCGTGTTTATCGAACTTTTCTGTACAGAATGCGAGAGAAATTCACGTAAAAGAAAGAGAAAAGATATAATTATTCTAACCTTTCGGCAATATACATATGCAGTTGGAATTAAAATTTTACTCTCCTTTGAAATAATTCAAATGTTTCCATAGTTGATCAAAATTAATTTTTTGCGGTAAAATATGTCTGAAAAAATGTGGGAAACTTCTACTCAATAAATTCAAGATACTAAAAGTCTCGGTTGCAATATATTGCGCGGATCGATAACGGGCTGCGGTTGCAGTGATGCAATTATTGGCGCTAAAAAACAGGTCTAACATTAGCATAATAAATCTAGAACCTAGCCAAACAGGAAATTGCAAGGCTCTCCGGGCTCGCAATGCAGGTAGACAAATTATGTGGGATGTCGAGGAGCGAGACAATCTCCAGAAGCTGGCGATACTGCGATTATAAACTTATTCCAGACCTTCGTGACCGATCCAGCGCGATTTATGTCAGACGCATTAAAGTTTTCGTGTTAACGTAGAAGAAAGTTTATAAGCTACTAGAAGCGACGCGCTACTGGAGAGTTTAATTCTGGCCCTGTCGCCCGTCTCTCTGCTACGTGATTGGCAAAACTTAAGCTCTAATTATGAAATAAATATATCTTGGTAGCTCTCGATGCAAACTGTATTCTGTGGATTTTCAAAAACATCACTGTAGATCACAAAACATCACTGCGCAAAAAAGATTGGGATAGCAGTGCAATAAGAACAGCAATTCTACTTTCTAATAAATATCTTCCACTTAGATTTTCCAACAGCGTAATGCGAGATTGCGCCAGAAAAATATTTGTATTGTATCGATTATAGGAATTAAGTTTGTTTCAAAGTTGTTTTCGTGAAATTACAGAAGTGTGCTATGGTCGGATTATAACAGCTCGTCTTGCACTTACGAAGAGTGATAATTGCAACATTCTTTACTACGTTATTGAACATCATTTATCCCCTTTTTTTCGCTTTTCTTGCAGAAGGACGCATTCTAGAATTACACTCACCCGACGGTGTCCACGAGTGCTGGTTGAGAGCCGCTGATAATACTGAGGCGAACGTCTGGTTCAACGCTTTACACTCGGCGTTGGCAGCCCTCACCTTGAAAGCATTACGACTGGCCTCAGCACTTCCGGATCCACAGCAGCTTCAGCACATTGGCTGGCTTGCGAGGAGACATTGTCTTCAGGTGAGAGAAGTTTCCGAACACTTATCAGGAAGCATGTCTAGCGCAGGCAAATTTCTAACGTAGCGTTTCGCGATAACTCAGCCAAGAATACTCTGCACTAATACTGTTGTGCGATATTATATCGTACGATACTATTGGAATTCAATATGGCGAGACGCAGGGGAAAAAAAGTGACGTGTCAGTAGCATTTGTTCGATTAAAATGAATCTTGTTAATTTACAATGACAGTTTTAATGACAGTAATAACACATTTGTTTGATTAATATCGCCTGTTAAGTTAAAAAGATTATTCGCGGGAGTGCCGCCGCTGCAACATAGTTTTTTGTCCGTCTCTACGTTCATAAAAAAATTGTACCCATATCAAGTGTAGATCCCCTATCTTACGCTCGGCACTGATTTCCGGCTTTTTCATTTGCCACCGGCATCGTATAGGATGAGGGTGATCTTCTTTCCGGCGGTTCAACAAAGGGTTGACACAATCCCTGATAAGGAGTACCCGCATGAGCGCGATTGCAATCTACCGAAAATGTCGATTGTTTCCCGTAAAAGCGCTGCTTTATCTCGATTTTCGTTCGTCATTTTTGCAACGTTGATCCGGCGAAATTCGGAATTTAAGTTGAATGGATTGGACATTTACTTTCGGGTAAGAGGATGCGCGCGCGCGACACTGTTGAGAACGCCTTACGGTGAAACACCCCAGCCCGCAGATATGGGATTATTCAACATCAACGTTATAGGAAAGCAGCTGACGAGCCCGGATTCAGGCCCTCGTCAATCGACCTTCCTTGGTCGTACGCAGCATATTGCCTGATTACTGTCGCAACCGCTCAAATACGTACCGTGCGGCACAGAGAGACGTCGGCTAGTATTTAAGCAGCCCGTGGGACGATTTCGGAGGAGGGCGACCGGCAATCAGGCGCGCTAATGCCAATCAATTATGTGCCGGTAACCGCGTGCCCTACGGCCCTCCTGCGGCGTCCTTGATGCCACCGGTACTCGCAGGGCGGTCCTTTATCAACAAGGCAACATCCGTCGGCGGGCTTCGCGTATTAGTTATCGATTCCCACCGGTTACACGATCGGTGGATCGATAGCGTTCGCCGTCCCATGCTACGGCCGGTCTCGACCGCTGCACGTTTACCTGCCGCGATCTCTGCGAGTGACACGTCCACGGAGTTGGATGGGTGAGACTAGGTGGAGATGGAAAGATCAACTGTCGCACCTCGGATATCCCTGGTGGCGATATTTAATTGGAAACTGCGGATGGGATGGATTTCCACTCGATGGAGTTCGCGGTTTTAGCAATAAATAGTCGCTGATGGATGGAAATCACAATTTAATTGCGATCAGTCATCTAGTTGAGTGTTCGGTGTTTACTGATTAGCTTGTTAGCCAATTAGCTGCTTTAGAATGATAGAAATGGTAAAAGCAACATTCATGTTTCGAGCATTTCCTTTGGCAATATTTTATTCAAACTAGCGAATACTGTTGATTTTTTTTCCGTCCGAGGGAGTTTGTAACAATAAATAATTGATGGTATGCGGATGCAGCGTTTTAAATGGAATCAGTTATTTATCTAATCGTTATCGTTAACCACATATTCACCATTGAACGTTTCATTATGTTTTAATCATCGAAACTATTTGCTTTAAAAGTGGAAATTGTTGATTCGTTTCGATTGAATGTGGAACTAAAATGAAAGAAATACTTTTCTATCACTTTTTGTACAATTACAAATTTTTTGAAGTATAAAATATTGATAAAAGATGATAATTTCGATAAACGCGTAATCTTTTCTCTTTTCTTTGAAATATACACATTTTTTAGTGTTAATTAAAATTTTTGTCATTGCGCATTGTCATTTAAATAATGAAATAAGAAGTACAATTTTCTTGTTAGTAGAAAAAGTCATCACTAGTCAGACATAGAAATATCTTTAAATTTGATCCATTTCTTGGATTTAAAAGAATTTTTTTGTATTTTTTATATATTTATTTTCTAAGTGTTAGTTCAATTCTAAAATTTCCTCCTAAAAACATATCGTAAAACAAAATTAACAATAAATTAAAAAATATCTATAAATTAATGAATTTTTTTTTTATTAAAAGAATTTCTTTCTGAGTTTATACTTATGTTTTGAATAAAAATCCAAATTTTTGTAAAGGCATATATATATATATATATATATATATATATATATATATATTTCGGGCCAAAATTAATAATAAAATAAAAGATGCCGTTAGTGGAAAAAGACATCAAAGGTTAACTCTAGAGATTTAAAATATCTCTAAATTTGCGCGCTTTTTAGATTAAAAGAATTTTTTTCTAAACACATGCGTATCTCTTGATCAGCTTAGATCCAGATTTTCGTAATTAAAGGCATATTGCAATTAAATTTAATAACGAAAAGAAAATATCGATCAATAAATTTGACGGAATTTTTTTACATTAATTACATTAAAAATTTTTTTACCATGCATTTACTTATATTTGTTATTCTTGATTAGCATTTTATTTACACGCACATGAAATCTTAACATATCGACGTGCTGTATGCGCGTTGCATATCGCAGTACGGATAAATATTACCCTATTGTATCTCCGATATTTACATTCGCATAAATCGCGTGCTATCGTTCGAATCTGTCGCGAAACAGAATGTTCGCTTGCCCGTTCGCTCGGCGCGAATAGCTCGGCATATTCATTAGCACGCCGGCGACCGCCGCGCATCCGAGAATTTATCGATCGGTGATCCATAACCTGGTGATCGGTGCGTGTCATTTAATTAACGATCCGATGGGATATTTAAGTGCCGCTGTCCGTAATCCAGCCGAGCGAAGCAACGTTTATGGATTTCCCCGGGCACGTGGCGCCATGATCAACTGGCTGAACGAGTTGCATCATTATTTAGAAGCGCGGGCGTTCGCGCTGAGCGCCTCGTAAAGCCGGATATTGCGTTTTATGAACAACGTCGAACCAGCTAAAACGAACGCGGTAAATGCGCCGATCGCGCACGACGTTTTCATAACTGAAACAAAAACGCTGTGAAAAATACTCAAAACCGCCGTGAACAACACCACCTATAGCATCGCGTAGTTTCATTCTGTGTGCATACCGTGTGTATCCCGTGCCTGTACTACATTCTGTCATCCTGTTTAATGTCGTCCACAGTGTGCCGCTGCGCGCGCTTAAATCGTCGATTTATTTTATTTGCCGTTGGGTGTAATCGATTTCCGGTCGGTTCCACTGTTTCGACAGTTCCGATTTTCGTGCTAGTCAACCATGTTAGCCGATTATAGTAGTTATCCCTACCTGTTGGACTATATAGTTGGACTAGAATGTATACGTTTCAACTCACACCGTTTCAATTTTTTTTTTTAAATAATTTACATTTGAATATTGAATTAATTATTTACACTTATAGGAATATATACTGACAAAATATTTATTAAAAGCATACTTTTCTTTTTGATTTTAATTGTTGAATAAAAATTGTCATAATGAAGAAAAAGTATAATTGTTGTAATTCGCAAAATATTTCTTTTTTAGTAGTCTTTAAAGCTATATATTGTATATAAAGTGCGATCGCGCACTTTTTTATCGCACTGTACATATCCTTATATTAGAACAAAGATGTCCATTCTCTATTCCTTCCCGCGTCCATGTTTTAATCTAAAAAACATTGTCCGGAATTGATTGTTTGCCGATTGGCGCGCGTGTAAGCACAATGTCGCAAGCGGTTCTTTGTCGGACGGAAACGAAATGCGCGACATCCCACCCGGGTCGACGATTTGTAGAAGAGGCGTGACACAAATACGAGTTACGATAGCGGAGGCTGGAGGGTAAGGGCAAGCCGATAAATCCAAGAAGTTCACATATTGAAACGGGCGACGCCGCCAGAAGTAACGCCCGAGCGGAAGGTCCGAGCATAGGTGGATAGCGGAATGCCGTCTTCTACCCTAATCTCGTATATACGACCGCAATAAAGTGTCAATCTCGCGAGGAGATACGTTCAAGACGCGATTTCGACCTCCCGCTACGAGGGTGACATGGATCGTGCGTTTTCTCGAATCGTGATTCACGACATGACGTCAAGATTGATGGAGATTAGATGAAATTGAAATTGCAACATGAAAACGTCAGACCTGGGTTCTTTAGCGCGGCGGCTTACTTACTTAGTTTTACGGGAACGGTCGCGTGGAGGTTTTTTTTTCCAAGAATTACAACAAGTTTATTTACTTATTTGCTTAGTGCATTTTTCATTTCTTTTTCTTTTCCAGAAAATAGTAAAAAAATTTACATTTATAATATTCTCAAATAAGCAAGTTACAGCAACCTATAATAATACGTAACGTATTGTAATAATAAGTTTTAAACGAGGTCTAAAAGCACCGCACGCAACCTTTTATGAAAAAAAATCACGCGACCATCTCCGGTTAACTAATCAGTTCTCTTTGTGTTACTTCTTGTCTCCGTAGATTATTGTTTCTCAACTTTTACAGTTGCTCGCTGAAGTTGCTAGTTATTTGATTATTTAATTACTGTATTATTTTATTCGTATTTCAAATTTATTTTATTCGATTTGAAAATTATTGAAGTTTCCATTTGTGTAAAATTTATTATAAGCGATAAAGGAAAGCTAATATCGTACGAATATTGTGAGTAAATATCCGTAAGTTTAACCAGATCTGTGTGCGAAAAACAAAATGGAACAGTATAATTAGCTTGTCATCCGTATCGACTTCCTTTTTACGATTTAACAATCGTCCAGGCAAAAAAGGTCGACTGGAGAGGAACAAATAACGAGAATACATCGAACGCAAAAAGCGTTAAAATTCCACATCAAAGTGCGTCGATGGCGTCGATTAATTTTGTCGTGTCGTGTCTGCTCGCTTGCGATAAACGAATTTTCATGGAATTTCGGTGTACGGCACTTTCGGAGGAACAGCGCCGAACCGTTATAATTTCCATGAAAATCGAACAGACGCCGGGGACGAT